TGCAATTAATAATAATAATTTTTTTTACCACTTTAAGTTTTTCTCTTCTTCTCTTTGTTGGATGATGAAGATGAAGATAAAGATGAAGATGGAGAATTATTTGAAGGTTTACATTTCTTTTCTTTTTCTCTTTTATTGCTTATTAGTTTAGATTTATTTTCTTGTTAAATAGCCAAGAGGCTAGAACACTCTTGCCGTAGATTTATTTCATGCTTATAGAGTAGATTTATTTTCTTATATTTAATTCTTGCAATTTTATTTTGTAGTTTAGATTTTACAATTTATTTTGTAGTTAGATTTTAGTTTCTTGTACTATTCACCTTGAGGCTAGAACCCTCTAGGGTTTAGTTTTTCTGTTTGTTTATTTTTATTTTGTTTGATTCGCTTTTAGGTTAGAACCCTCTAGGGAATCGCCCTTTTCTAAGAAGTTGGTTCAATTTTAGATTACCCATATCTATAATTGAATCCATCATCTTTAATTTCTTGTATTTTCTTTTATTCTAGAATTTTGTTCTTCATTCTTGATTTTTTTTATTTGTTTCTTGATTTTATTTATTTTTCCTTCTCACCTTATTGATCATATTCATTCTCTTTTACATCCACTCTCACTTACACTTTGCACCTACTTACACACCACTTTCACTCTTTCAATCTCTTCACAATCATATTCACTCACTAATCTTATTTGTCACGCACACAACATAAGAACCGATTTTATATTTTCTCCTACAAAATACCTTCCTCATGGGATCGATATCTTAAATACTATAACTTGACATGGTTGTGTACTTGCAACCTTTTTGGTACATGTTTATGCCGCATCAGAATTCAGTTTACCAAACTTGCTTTTCACATACTATTAAGGTATGTGAAGTTCAAATTGCTTGACGGCTTAACTACTATGTGCTATTGATATTGTTATAAATTTTCTTGAAGGATAATACTTAACACCAAATTGTTAGAGAAAATTACCATTATGACTTTATGAATGTTAGCTCTGGCAATCTTTCTATCCAGCTCACTGGTGATAATTACAAATTCTTTGTTAATGTGCATATCCTCCTAATAGTACTATCACTTTGGAACTATGTTCAGAGTGGTTTTCTTAGTCATAATAATATTGATCATATATCAACTATTTAAATAATTGGAATCTTCTTTTGTAATGAATGGTTTCTAAAATTATTGAACAACCAACATCCGGTACTCTTGAGAGAAAACGTTAATAGATAATGCTACTACTGTGAATTCTAGAATGTTATATTGATTCACAATTCAGTAAACATACATGTCATTCAGTTTCATCATTAAGTATAAAGTGCTTATCTCAATCAAGTCCCTTAATCCTTTTCCATACACACATACACACTTCAGATTTGGTTCAAGTAATTTTAGATTAGGTTGACCCATCATATTAGGTTGACCCATTAATGGCTCTGGTATTTAGATTATGTTCCAGGAAACCTGCTGTGGTGGGTTGAGATTGTCAGTATATCCTCTCTATAATTTGTTGACAGAGAAAACTTCTTTGCTTTGTTATGTTTATTTCTTTGCACAAGTTCAAAGCTTAACATGCATCCATTTACATCAACAGGATGATTCCTTGGTTTCACACTTCGAGTACCATAAGCAACCTATTACATCAATAGAATGGAGCACACACGAAGCATCCACTTTGGTTGTCTCATCTCCAGATAATCAGTTGATGAAAGTTATTTTCTTTACCATTAACTACATAGAAGGCAAAAAAGCAAAAATGTCGTGGAACTTAATTTTTTTAGTAGTCCTATCTAAATCGTGTTTGTTTTATATTTCCATAATATGGGACCTCTCATTGGAAAGAGATGAGGATGAAGAGGCTGAATTTAAAGTAAAGATAAAAGAACCACCTCAGCTCCTTTTCGTTCATCATGTTTGTTCCTATTCCAGTTGTCCGGATAAATTACAAAAGTTCCACTATAATTTGTAGAGATGACAAAATATCTCCCTAAGGTTTAGAAGTAACATTTAACACCCGGTCATCAATTTTTGATAAAATAATCAATTTTCGTTGCGATAATCATATAATCATTTATATAATCATATGGAGGTATTTGTCATGTTCTATTAGTATATACTTTTTTATATCCTAATAATTAACATGGTCAAATTGAAACAAAAGGGTCAAATTAAGAGAGATTAGTTAACTGCAAGCTTGTTTGGCTTGTTCGAAACTCTTAGCTTGGGACTCAGCTACATCATCAGAGATAAGAGCTTCTAAGAGCAGACTCTTCACCTCCCAAGCACCATAAGGAAATCCTGGCCTCGTGTAGGCATTGAGAAGTGCAAGACTCGATTGCTTCAATAGCTTGGAGAAAGCACTCCAACAAATATCATCATTCATCCGCGTTTCTTCCCACATCGTGAGTCTTGACTCAAATATTTCTAACACCCTTGACCCAAAAACTTTAGCAAACTGATGATTCTTGATGCATGATATTAGGACATGCCTCTATTACACTGCTCCAGTGCCTGTCCCACATCAGATACAGAAGAATTTGCATGATACAAAAGAATTTGCATGATGCAAATATAGCATGTTATTCTCACACACTTTAATTATAAAAATCATGCATGCTACTATATAATCCCTCCACGATTATATCTCATGAAACAAACAAAATGTATTATCTCAATCATCAAGACACTGTAAAAGAGTCTCAGGTTACATATACAACTGGACAAAGAAGCTATGAAGTGAGTCATCCAACTTTTCCTCTCATCTCCTGCAGACCACAAAATTACCGTCTTGACTTAATCAATCTCTTCTGCTTCACTGAACATTATTATGGTCATCAACTAAACTTGCCAAACACTAATGACTTTATGTGTTGTCTGTTCAATTTACAAGTCTTGCCACACTTGGTGTTTTATATACAATCGTGAGCTAGACTTGCTCTTGTACTATGAGCTGCCTTTCTTAGTCAATATTTTTAATTACATTTTTCTCGACTTAGCTTGTCAGGTCATAGGTATATTATTTCTCCTATTCTTTTGGAGACATCTTGTCACAGTTTCTTTTGTTAAAATTGATGACCTTACTTGCGTAAAAGATGTATGTGGAAATATATTTTGCCAAATAAATCTAACATTGCAAGAGACCCAAAAGAATAGGAGCAACCGCATATATGTTCTTGCCAAACCTACATTTACATCAAAAAGTTCTCTATATAACTGTTAGATTTATCTTATTCCTTGTATCTGTATGTGATTAAGGAGAAACTAATATAAATTTGTTATTTTGTGTGTGTGTGTGTGTATAAGGCCAAAAATATTTGAAGGAAATACACTGGTACCAGCAGATCCCAGGGATGTGGGTATCCACGGCTGCTGATGGCTTTAATGTTCTCATGCCTACAAATATAGAGACTATTATTCCAGGAGCTACATCGTGAACAATCCAATTTATTACCTTGGCTTATGGAAATGCATTCAAATGCAGAGGTGTAGAAGCAAAAACAAACATTCATGTTATATCTATTGAGTCATGTACTTCTGAATTACATGAACGTGAATTTTGGGTTGTTAAATGTAAGTTGGGGGGGGTATTTACTTGAGTTGCCTATTGAATCTTTATTTTACGGTTTGACCGTAAAATTCCTATTCTTTTTCTTTTTAATTTTTTGGGAAATTTTATTTACAGTTTAAGGTGTTGTCTGTTGGTATCTATTTGTAGTTTACTGAAAAATATATTTTAGCTTAAAACGTGAGTGAACGTTACAGTTTTGTTTCTGGAGCTGCTGAATGATATTGATAAGAGTATTAAATGCGTTTATCTAATGTTTGAATGTGTTGATTTCTTTTTCTTTTTGTGTTTGCATTTGTTTTGAGTATCTAAGAGTATTTCGAGATTTGTAGCCAAGGGTGTTCACCTTTTTATATTTGGATGTGTTGACATTCTTTGATTATCTGATGATTGTTCTCCCATAATCCTATGGAATATTCATCTATTGTTTATATTTCAAATTCCCCTGCCCTTAGAAAGTTACTCATCGACCTTAATAATAATGTTTGATTAGACAAAGTTTAATGAGTGTTTTGGAATTTATATGGGATTGTAAAATTTTCATCCGTGAATATATGCACTCACACATTACGTATTGCAAAGACTTAGTCAAGCTTCGAATGTCATGAGCTTGTACTTACATCCACATCATCAAACATTATTATGACATATATTTTTGTGACGATATTTGATTGATCAATCACGTTATAGATGCAACCAGTGTACTATCGCCCAATCAATTAATAAATGTAATTTCATTGTTCAAATATTGAATGTTTAGATTATGCCTATATGTTTGATCTATTACTTACATTCCAAAATTCATTAACAAATCTTTATAAATAAAATTATAAAATTTAAACAAATAATAAAAATTTTACCACGTGCATTGCACGTGCAATCCAACTAGTAACCTAAATACCCTCACATGAGGTTGTTTAAGGATTATTTTTAATTTGACACTCTAAAGTCTACACCTTAAATTTTGACACCCCAAAACGTTTTAGACACTTGGGTACCCTGGAGTTTATACATTTTTTACTCGTGTTTTTGACACTTTGATACTCTAGAGTTTATATATTTTTTAACTTTCATATCCCAAAGTGTCCACATTTTTAACTTTAATACCTTAAAGTTTACACATTTTTTAACTTTGATACCCTAAAGTACTTTAGGGGTATCAAAGCATCAAAACAACCTGATTATCAAAGCATCAAAACACCTCCAATTTAAATCATTACAGGTTAACTAACCTGATTGAAATCATTGCAAAATGAACGGCCCCGATTCAAAGATTACAAATGTATCAAGGCCCCGCGTGAAATCTTCGCCAACGGTCGGATCCCGCGTTCCACCGCCAAAGCCCAATTAGGAAACAACCCCAGCCCTAAAATCGATGAAGACCTACATATATGTATTCTTTCTCAAATTAAGGCAACAAATTTACTTACTAGGGTTTCCTTTTTTTAATTTACTGCCGCCAATCAATCAAGAAAGTTCCCATATTTTCTGCCCTAATTTTCTCCCGCCATCATCATCGTAGTCGTCGTCGAGAATGGCAATGGCAATGCAGCCCGTTGTTGACGACGATTTGCTGGCGATGCTGCTTCAACAACTGCCGCCGGGGTTTCGATTTCGTCCGACCGATCGAGAGCTGATCGGGTTTTTCTTGAAGAGGAAAATTGCTGCTTCTTCGTCTTCAGTTGCTGCTGCTCCCAGTTCCCTGATCAAAGATTTTGATGTCTACTCCACCGAACCCTGGAATTTACCTAGTAAGCCTACTCAATTTCCGATTCTTTACCTATTTTCTTCCTTAAAGCTGATTTCTTTACTTTCAACATGTAGTTAGTTAGGGCGTCTAATTCCTTTAAAATTGATTCTTTTTATGTTGTAATTTCTTGCCGGATTTGTTTCTTTTGCTTATTTTCTTCTTTTATTATTGTTTAATTCGAAGCCCATGAAGACTCCTGTACCAAGAATAGAATCATAGTGGTAAATTTATATCGGTTTATCTAATTTCTTAATTAATTGATATTTTATTGTTTAAGATGGGTTGTTTTGTTGCTGAATATGGCCTGTTCCATAGAATATAGGCCATTATATTTAATATTTCTTAGCAAATGTGTCCACATAATCGGTAAAAGAAATGACAAAATTTGCGAAAATAGTTTCAGGGTTGGTGGTTTTTCTGTTATTGGAAATAATCGAGGCAAAATGAGAAGATGAGAATATTTGTTTGCTGAATGTCAATGCATTCTTTTCTGTTACTATGTATATGAGAAAAAGAGAAGATTTCTAATGCTGAAGTTTTTAACTTGATGCCGCATTCCTCTCATAACTCATGATTTTCTGTTCTTGCTTCTAGCGTACCAAGTTATTGTATACAGATGTTCCTTCACTGCTACAAAGTAGTTACTTAATTTGCTGCTACTATTTTTTTTAAAATCTTTCTTTTATCATTTATTTAACATCAAACTAATCATTGTCAGTTGAACAGGGTCTCTTAGCTGACGGGCGTGTTAGTTTTTTCTGTTTCGAAAAATCTCCCTCTTTCTTTGCCTGTTAAATACTGCTTTGATAATTACATCTAATGATATGCTGCTATTTAACTTTCTGATGATTGTATCTGACGTATGATCTATGTTCAGGTGATTCATTTCTGAGCCAGAGTGATGAGAAAGAGATGTATTTCTTCTCCCCTAGGCATCCAACAAGCACAAGTGCCAAAAGGGTGAACCGAACTGCTGGCTGTGGATTTTGGTATGGGAGTGCAGGTGACACAACGATTATGATTGGAACTGAAGTTATTGGCTACAAAACACAACTGACTTTTAAGACTCGTGGGAAGGAGAAGAAGAAGACTAATGGTGATTGGATTATGCACGAATTTCACTTGCACTCTTCTTCAGATGATACAGTGTTCGATGACATGGTATTGTGCAGAATCTACATGAAGAAAGGGAAGAAGAGTTCTCAAACGAACGAAGAAGTAGATGATATTCCTGTTCCTGCAGGTGAACAAGAGGCAGTAGCTAAAGGGAACAGAGTGATGAAGAGGAAAAGTGCTGATCACCGTGAGATGGGAACCTATGGATTAGTGTACACCAAGTCATCTGAACAAAACACATCGTCAGTATCTAAGTTTCCTCCATTGCTGTCCTGTCAAGAATCAAACGTGCAGTCAAATATGAGTTGGATTGATGTTGCTGTTTTTGATGGAAAATTAAATGTAGAGGAGGAAGAAGAGGGACGAAGGATGGTGAAGAGAAGGCGGGTCAAGGAAAATGGTTCTATGGTAGCTGATTATAATGAAAAAGGGACCTCTGGGTGTGAAGAGAAGGCGGGTCAAGGAAAATGGTTCTATGGTAGCTGATTATAATGAAAAAGGGACCTCTGGGTTTGCGAATACGGAATCACCGTCTTTATCATTGTTGGAGGACAAGCATGCTTTAGTATCTTATGGAGATATGCAAGATTTCTCTTCATTGACATCGGATGGGTCTTCTTGTGCCGTTAATATTGGTGATAATGAGATGTCAGAAGCAGGAAGAACTTTGGAGCAATGGCTATCAGAGGAACCAGAACTACATCAATGCTTAATAAATGTTAATAATGAAAGAGAGAACTGTGATGAGGTGAACGATGTTGAGTCAACCATGAGTCCGTCATCATCCATTGGTGGTCTTCAAGCCGACCTACATTTGATCAATGAATTGTGTATGGCTCCACCAATGGACGACTACCCTCTGGCGGAGTTTATGGAAAGCCATATGTATTTTGATGTCTCTGACTTCCGACCTCTGCTATCACCTACTGATGACGGTGAATCATCTGCATTGCTAGGGTCTCACAAAGAAGCAGATATTCCGCAAACTGGACCTGAACAACAAGAAGGCTTGATTACTAATATTCCACAAACTGTTGATTCCACTGATGATGATGACTCATCTCCATTGTTAGAGTCTAATAAAGAATCTCAAGGCTTGGGCTTACTCACTACAGATATGACTTCTAACATTGCTTCTGTACAATCAGAGGAACGACTACAAGGCTTGATGATTGATATTCCACGACCTGTCAATTTGACTGAATGTTTGGATATTCAATGCGACAGCGTGGCATGTAGAGGTGAACTGCCTAATCCTCCAATGCTCAGCGATCATGAATTGACGATCCTTGTAACTGAGGCTTTTCCATACATGGAAGAGTCTCTAGAAGTTGATGATTTATTTCTTTGATGTTCTTCTATGTAACTATTTTAAACTTTAATAAAATTATTTCCTTTATTTATTCTGTCTCTTGTGAGTGAAGAAAGAATTATGTTCTGTAGTAACTTGGCGTAATTGAGAATAAGCTTGTCCCAGAACTATATATCATGATTAGAAAATGTGATAAAATAACATGTTAATTATAACCAAATGTCAGCAAGATGACGAAAAGATATTTTGATTATGCTCTGCGTTTATGCAAAAGATTTGGAACTTAAGTGTGGCACTGTGATGTGTTTTTGTTTGTTAAGTTAGAGTTTAGATTGCTGTACCTGTACCATGGTGGTCGACGTTGAGGTTCTGATAATTGTAACTTCAGGTCCAAATGGCTGGGTAACTAGAGAGTACTGCAATTCTTGATCTTAGTTCACTTAGGCAATATGCTGAAATCAGAGATCGACTTGTGAACTCAGTGTATTATTTATTTTGGGGTTCAATAAAGCTAAATATCTTAACCATTATTTCAAAAGGGTTGTTCTCTACTGCCATTGTATTTTTTATTCCTGAAGTTTACAGTACAAGCTAACATAGTTACATAAATGAGCTTAGCTGCATCCGCGAATCTTTTGTCCAATACTAAGACATGCACATCAGTTTTCTGACAATAGATCCTGAATTTTTGCTGTTGACATCAAAAAAACCCTGAGTTAATAGAATAGAAATTCTGACATCCCCCTACTCTGAAAAGCACAAAACAAGTGAGAATCAAACAGGAAGAGACTAATTTTAAAGTATGTCGCATTTAAGAAAACCTTGCTTACTGCACTGGACTACCGTAGTGACTACTGATATATGGCCGCGGCAGTTTCTTGCTGTGGATATCAACCACAATGGCTCTGTTTTACAGCCGAGTTTTCTGAGTGTAATAACATTTATTCAGTTGATTCAATTTCTGATTCTTTACCAAATTTCTTTGTAAAAGTTGATTTCTTTAGGATCGAGATGAAGTTGGGGCATTTTATTTCCTAAAATTGATTCTTTTATGGTTGCAATCAGTAGTTGGTTTGCCAAATTTGTTCCTTTTCCATGATTTCTTCTTGCATTCTTGTTTAATTTGAAGCCCATGAAAACTCTTATACTGACAATGTAATAGTGTGAAATTTATGTCTGGTTCTCTAATTTCCTAATTTATTCTAATTTTCTTGTTTTAGGTTTTGCTAATGAGTTTATTGATGTGTCTACATGTCTTTACTGCTATGTGTATTGTATGTTTACGTGCATATATATAATGTTGATACTTGATCCTTTGCTTCCTTTTCCATAGAATAATCGAAACAATTATATTTATTATTAATTATCATCCGTGTTCATGTCATGAGTAAAAAAGGAGAAAAAAAAGACAAAACTTTGTAGAAATGGTTTCAGGATTGGCGGTTTTCTGTTATTGGAAAGAATGATGGCGAAATGAGAAGGTGGGAATATTTGTTTGCTATGATGACACATTCCTCTAATAGCTCGTGATTTTCTATTCACGCTTATAGTGTACCAACTTATTGTATACTGATGTTTTTTCACTGCTATGAAGTAGTTACTTGATTGCTACTATTGTTGTTTTGTACTTTTTTGATCATTTATCTAGCATTGTTAGCTGAACATTGTCTCCCGGCCAATGAGCATGTTAGTTTTTTCTGTTTTGTAAAAAATCCCTCTAGCTTTGCTTGTCAAAGATTGTTTTGATCGTTACATCTAATAGTATGTTGTTATTTAACTTCTGATGATTGTATCTGATTTACAATCTATGTTCAGGTGATTTATTTCTGATCCAGAGTGAAGAGAAAGAGATGAATTTCTTCTCCCCTAGACATCCAACAAGCACAGGTGCCAAAAGGGTTAACCAAACTGCTGGCTGTGGAGTTTGGCATGGAGTGCAGGTGACACAGTGATCATGGATGGAACTGAATTTATTGGCTACAGAACACAACTAACTTTTATGCTGTGTTTGGGAGCTCACTAAGGGAAGGGGGAGGAGAAGATTAATGGTGATCAGTTACGCATGAATTTCACTTGCGCTTTTCTTCAGATGATACAAAGTTCGATGACATGGTATTGTGCAGCATCTGTGAGTTGTTAATCAGTCCGGATTGGTAGTTGAGTTCAAGTTAGTAGATAGAATTCTAGTTAGAATAGAATACTAGTTATTAGATAGTTTTCTAGTTATTGGATAAGATTAAAGTTGTAATCTTAATCCTATATATATGTAAACCATATTGATGAGTTTAACAAGAAGGTGAATAAATCTTTTTAAGAAAAACCTGCTCCTTCTCTGTTCGTGTTCAACATCAGAAACAGTGACCGAAAATTTCCTGCAGGCTCTGTTTTTCGGTCACAGAAATTTCCAGTCTCTGCTGCAATATTCGTTCCCTGTAATCAAGGATTTGCATAAAACAAAGCTTAGGCCGATCCTAATCCAAAACTCAGGCTGATTGTATTCTCAAAGCTAACAAGTGGTATCAGAGCCGGCGTATGCCTAAGTATCAACCAAGATCTGAAGAGATGACGAGTTCGGAGAAGATGACGACCAAGGTGGGTTCGCTCACTCTTCAATACCCGACGCTATCGAGGGATAACTATGCTTCGTGGGCAATCAAGATGAAAGTCTACATGAAGGCTCAAGACGTGTGGGATGCCATTGAGCCCGCGGCAGGCGCGTCCGTGGAACACAGGAAGGATCAGATGGCGTTGGCGGCCATCTACCAGGGGATTCCTGAAGAGACTTTGATGGTGATCGCAGAGAAGCAAACGGCAAAAGAGGCATGGGAGACGTTGAAAACAATGCATCTAGGAGCGGATCGTGTGAGGAACGCGAAGGTGCAGACCTTGAAGTCCGAGTTCGAACTTCTCCGGATGAAGGAGAATGACAACGTCGACGATTTTTCGACGAAGTTGACAGGAGTCGTCAACAAGATCCGGGCTTTAGGCGGCGAGATGGAGGAGAACTACGTCGTCAGAAAGCTACTTCGGGCGGTACCGGAGAGATTCCTTACTATCGTCTCCACGATTGAACAGTTCGGGGACATCGACGACATGACACTCGAGGAGGCGATCGGGCGCCTCAAAGCCCACGAGGAGAGGGCACGTGTTTTTCGAAACAACGTCGACGATCACCTATTGTTGACGCATGCGGAGTGGCAAGCAAGGAGCAAGAAGAACGGCGGAGGCTTCCTCTCAACACCTACAACAAATGATGGTGGCGGACGAGGTCGCGGTCGAGGAGGCGGTCGAGCACGGAGGCCGCGGAGGGGAGCACGGCGGCCAGGCAGGCCGAGGCGGCTTCGGCGGCAGAGGAGGACGTCCAGGAGGTGGTTTCGGCCATGGAGGTGCAGCTCGCCAGGAGGGGGAGAGTAGCACAAGCGGTGGTCGAGACAAATCCAACATCAAATGCTTCAATTGCGGAGTATACGGGCAATTTCAGTCGGAGTGTCACAAGCAACGCCGCAATAATGAACATGAGGCTCATCTCACCCGTGCATATGACGAGGAGCCAACCTTGATGATGGCTATGTTAGAGGAATCCTCAAGTGTTATTTTACTTAATGAGGAGAAGGTGATGCCGGATTTATTTACAGCGGGGGAGGCACATGTTGACAACAACACTTGGTATCTTGACAACGGAGCTAGCAATCACATGACCGGCCACCGAGATAAGTTCAAGGAGCTCGATGAGAACATCAAGGGAACCGTCAAGTTTGATGATGGATCCGCGGTAGAGATCAAGGGGAAAGGCTCTATCCTCTTTCAGTGCAACAACGGCGATCAAAGGCTACTACCTGAGGTATATTATATTCCAAGTTTGAAATCTAACATTATTAGCCTTGGTCAGATGACTGAAGATGGGAGTAAGGTTGTTATTGCTGACGAGTTCCTGAGGGTGTTTGATAGGAACGGTGCTCTCTTGATGAGGGTGACACGTTCAACTAACCGATTGTACAGGATAGAGTTAAAAACTTGCAAGCCGGTGTGTTTGATGGCGAATTTCAACGATCCAGCTTGGCTATGGCATGCTCGCCTTGGGCATGTCAATTTCTTCGCCCTCAAGATGATGACTGATAAGAGGATGGCTTCCGGGTTGCCGAAGATCTTGCACCCGAACCAACTATGCGAAGGA